AATTCTCAATCTGACAGTAAAAAGAACAACTATATTATGTACTAGCACATGTCCTGGTACTACTGTAATAGAAAAAGTATGGTTTTAGCAGGACCAATGGTCTGATTCAATGCATTAATTTTATGTGATTTACTAATAACACGACAGAACATCACATTGCAGCAGTTTTGCTTTTTGGGTCTAGTAGAGTGTCTCTCTCTAAGCTCAATAAATGTTCATTGAATGCTAAGAGAGTGCCCAAAGGTGCCACAGGCTAAGAAACTGAATTTTCATTCTATTTTGAGGTAGAGATATTGGCTTGAAATTCAAAAGATGATTAAGAGTGTCTTAAAAAGGAAAGGATCTAATTACCACACTTACTATAAAAAGATTGTGTCTCAAAAGGAGAAGTAGGAACAAAGCAGGTGTTTACAAGTAGAAAAAAACACACAAACATGCACATGCGTACACACTCACACACTCACACATGTCTTTCACTATTCACAGCTGATTCATGTATCTGGAACTTCAGCCTTGAAATAAAATGAAGAGTTCCTCTGACTCATGGTCTTTATGCTTGTTGTTCTTATTTAGTGTTTTGGCAGTAAATTCAGATGCTTGGAAGGTCATCTTTTTGTCTTCCAACACTTGGCTTTCAGGAAGTGAGGATTTTCATCTTCTGTGCCAGGTGCCAGAAACCAGTGTAATCAGAGATCTGCTTGGCTGATCTGTGCAACAGGGAAACTTGAAACAAATATAAGTCTTTTGACTCTCAAGTTCTCCTGTGTAAAGGACTTTATCCAAGACTTCAGTTCTCTTTTTTGGTAGGTTGTAAACTACCACTTTTGGAATAAGTGACGTATGCAAATATCTGCCAGGAATTATCATTCACAGCTTGGAATTTGAAGGCAAATACATGTCATTTTTATATTATTATCCTACATCCACATACAAGCTGAAGTCAGAGCAATAAAGTGAATTTACAATTTCCTATGCTTTGGATCACGTATAGCATAATCTTGAAGTGAGGTGGCTATGTGACAGGAAAAAGTAATGGAAAATAAAAGAAATATTTTATAATATTTTTGAAAAAAATTTGAAACAGAATGTAGGTGAAAATTAATCTGGAGTAGATATCAAAAAGAAAGTGAAGGATATCCCAATAGACATTAAATAAAAAAAGGTTATAAACATTAATGTGTTTGGCAGAAACAACCAAAATTTTTTTCTATAAAAATCATAGTTCCTTCATGTTTTTTCCTCTAGAATGCAAATAAGCCACAAAATAATTTAATCCAATGACTTGTAGCTCAAAATAGTGTCTTTTGGATGAAAATTATTTAAATAAACTATTTAAAATTGCAACAACATTTAACACATGTAAATGCTATTGCCAGAAGAGTCACGGGAATGAAGCTTCATCTTGAGGATGAGGGAGGGATCCTACCGGGAAGTATTTCACCGATTGTGGGTATAACATCCCCACAGGAAATCCACCAGGCCCTCATGGCATTCTTACTTGTTCAATAGCAGCCATTTTGCAAATATATCAATCCCAAGATCATAATCTTCTTTTGTGCACATCATCTTAAAAGCTTACTTGTAAACATTGCAATAGCTCTCTCAGTACCTCTGAGAAATCACTATAATGTCCATTTTCAAGATGATAGATACAGACAGAGATAAATATGTAACCCAAGAACGAATGGGGAGAGAGAGGAGAGCGGAATGGAATATAGGGATATCAAATTTCCAGTATTCTGTACACAGTGCTCTTATCTCCAAAAAAATTCTAACGAAGACCTAAATCATAGAATGGGCTATCAAAGAACAGAACACTGGCTTCAAATAACACTACTAGAATATTTGAATTACTTGCTAAGGCATTAAATTGAAAAATGGAGAACCAACAGTACCACATTAGAAAAATATTAAAGGTTGTCCAAAATTTACTTTTTAACAAAAATATATTTTAAAGGTAAAATATGTGGACATTTAAAATTACATTTGCAAACACACATGCACACACAATATTCTTCACTATGATTATGCAATTTACCTAATCTCTTTATTGAAGAGAAAGGGAAACAGAAATACAATATAACTTGGAGCAAGTTTTGAAGAATAGCCTAAGTTTAAATACTTGCTATTTGTCTAATTTTTGAAAAATCTTGAGAGTTGGAACAAAGGTTCTAAAAGAATCTGAAGAAGGCAAAACTGTCTTGAAAGGTCTACTTTTAGTGGTAGCACAGTCATTTTAATGGCATCTCAAAAGAGAACAATAATGACAAATAGAGCCAGAGGACTTTATTGCTGTATATGCTCAGCTACTCCAATTTCCCTTTATCTACAAAATGTATTTCAAATCCCTCTATCTGCTCTGCTTCCACCTTGTTTTAAATCACTGCACTTGTTTAGGTATCCTATTTGGATGATTTCCAATAGCCTCCTAGCTAGTCAAATTAACTGCTTCTACTCCTACCCCACCTCAACTCACTCATCACAGAAAGCCAGAATGATCTTTTAAAACTAAAATATAATCACATCACTCCCGTTTTTCCTTATACTTTTCACTGTGACTGCGGAAAGACCAAAAGGCTAGACATACCATATAAACCATGCCTGATATAGCCCTTGCCTATTTTTCTAGCCTCACTTCTGCCATTTACCACTCAGCCCCTCTAGGGTCTTGTAAGTCTGGCCTTTTTCCAACTCCTTACATGTATTAATCGCTTCCCAACTCAGATCCTTTGAACATGCTGTTTCCTCTTCCTGAAAAATTTTGTCTACCACACAACTTTCTTTTGCTAACTCCTAGTCATCCCTTATGTTTTAATGTCAATATTATTTCCTCAGAAAGACCTTCCCTGATTGCCAAACTAATTTAAATACCCTATTGCTTTCTTTCACAGCACCTATTTCCCCCCTCATATATTTTCATTCATGCATACATAGAGGTAGGCATGGATGAATTCCACAACTGTTGCTGAGCACCTGCTGTGTACCAAGCACTGTTGTAATGCCAGAGAGGCATGATCCAAGCTCTCTTGGAGCCTACATTAGCTAACAGTTGTAAAGATATTCTTATTTGTGTGTTGATTTGATGTCTTTTCCTTAAGACTGTCAGCTTTATGATACAAAATCATAAAAAAGGCAGAGGTCAGAACTTGCTAAATTTTCCACAATTCCTTAATGACAGAGCTAGCCCTAGAAGCCAGTCCAAGCCAGTGCTTTCCTCGTTTTAGGACCACACTGGCTGTTCTCCTACATGCAGTTCTACTACATTTCCCAGACTCCTTTGCAGCAAAATCATGTGATTAAATTGTAGCCAATGGGATGTGAGCACAGGTGATTTAAGTTACTTCTAGACCTGCTCCTGTAAAGCTGCCTGTGTGCCCTTGTATGTCATTCTTCCCCCTAGTGGTGGCTAGAATCTGAGGACTCTGTGGTCCAAGGGTTTGGCAGAGCTTTGCATGAAATAGGCCTTGTTCTCTGAATCATCACATAGGGGGAAAGACACCTGCTGGTCAGGACCACCCATCCTGGACTGGTAGGTGAGACATTTCAGGATTTATTTGTCATACCATCTAACTTTTATGATACATGTGGCTTTTCTAATAACATTAAGATTTAGGGATCTTAGCCAAAGTGGCTACCAGTGTGTTATTCTCATTTTGAATCCTGACAGCTAAAGAGGGGCCATTGGACAGTTACCCTTGTACTCACATTCACTCAAATGAAAATCGTGGGTCTATCTCACTTTCTCTCAGAAGTCTGTGAACCTCTTAAGAATAATAAAACTAGAAAGGTGCAGTGGCTCACGCCTGTAATTTTAGCACTTTGGGAGGCCGAGGAGGGAGAATCACGAGGTCAACAGATCAAGACCATCCTGGCCAACATGGTGAAACCCTGTCTCTATTAAAAATACAAAAATTAGCTGGGTATAGTGGAGAGCGCCTATAGTCTCAGCTACTCAGAAGGCTGAGGCAGGAGAATTGCTTGAACCTGGGAGGCAGAAGTTGCAGTGAGCAGAGATAGCACCATGTACTCCAGCCTGGCGACAGAGCAAGAATCTGTCTCCAACAAAAATAAATAAATAAATAATAAAACTAGTAGCTTCAAATGGAGATTTGTGAAGAACAATAAATCACTTGAATATGTAGTTTGTGCTTTAAAAAATTTGTAGCACTATTTTTGATAGTTCCTTGGTCAAATTGCTTCTAAAATAATCTGTAATGTACAGTTCATTTGAGGCACTGATTTGTGGCAAATCAAGTAGCTAAAAGTTAAAGATGAAGATTATTACCCTGGTAAATTCATATCATTTACTTAATGGTTCAAAATGACTTTCAGACGTTAAATATAATCAGTACTGGATGTAAAATATGCCTTTTTTCACAATAAAATGTAAAATATAACACATATAGTTTCTTATTGTTTATATGAGCTATATCTTCCTAATTTTAAACTAACAAGTTAAAATGCTTACATCTAGAAAATAAGTTTATTTGTAATTCTTAGCATGAATTATTTTGTTTATTATAAACAAAAGACAGGAATTTAAGTATTGTGTCCAGTTTTTCACTGTGATTTTCATCATCTAATTAGAGATGGTGTATTGTCATTTGTTTATTCTGAAGTAACTGACAAAATGACCTTTTAAAATATTGATTTAAAGGGTATAGGTTACTGAAAAGGCAGGAAGCACAATCAGACATTTCTTAAAATACTGAACCATAAAAAGAATACCAGCTAAGATAATCACATCCCATGTAGTTAGAAGAATAAATAGGAGGGGGCCAGGATGTATGTCTTTGCCTCTGTTTCTTGATTTCTAGATTAGATCAGGAGACTATGTGATGGAGATATACCAAGACAAAAACATTAGCAAACGAGACCCAATTTTTCCAAAAAATGGTTATAAAACTAGAAAATGGGTTAAAGAGTGGAAAATGATATAAGCCAGCTTCTAATGTTAAGATAACTAAGAAGGCATCTGACTTTTTTTTCTTCTCTTACAGATTTCTAGAAAAGACATTGCAGGAAATTGAAGAGACTCCCTATTTACTTCAATAATATTCATTGGGTATGCTTGTTCAAAGTCCTGATCAAGGAACCCCTCTCCATTTCTGGTGTTGATACAACTCTTCCAACCACCTGTGAGTCTACACACCATCTGTGTTACCAGATCCCTTCTTGAGATTTATTCTCTACCCTCCATATGGATGTATACATATCTGTAGGTTTTTCTATGAATTGGGCTATCTAGAATGGAAAGGAATACTACTAAAATTAATATTCCTTCAACAAAGCCTACATTTTCCTCCTTTTAGTTAACAGTAATTCTCTATTACCTCCCCACATTACAGGGTGGGATGAATAACATTCTCAGCAATTGCCAACTTCATGAACAGGCTCAAAAAACCACACAGAAATCTTATTGGTAATAAATAACACTGCCCTAGTGGGTACATGCAGGGTTCACTATAAGTGTTTAATACTCAGGATGATGAGCACTTTTCAAATCACACTATTTATTTAACCAAATCCTCCACCTAGCATAAAAATTGCTAAAGGTCTTCCAGAATCAGAATAGACAGTCTGGAGCCTGACTTTGTGAAAATCCTTATTCCTAAGATGATGACTCCTACACTATGTTGAAAAGCTATGGAGTAAAAACATAACCTTGAGAAACTTAGGAAAATATTGAGTTTTCTTCCAGTGTAAAAGTGACCATTATGATCATTATTAAAGATCCAGTTTCTCATAACCTTAACAAGTGTGCACAAAGGACTCCTAAAGGGCAACAACTGAAAGCATGAATTTACTATTTTGAAAATATATTCAAATACTTAGCATACATTAAAAATTTTCTCGAGTACAGGGAACATTAGAAAGAATGTGATGAGCTGTTTAGAATATTATGTCGTCTTTTTATATTTATTGTAATAAAGGGTTCATTGTGCAAAGGTCTCCACATTCTGGCAGCCTGCAGCAATAGCAGGAAACACTAACGCCAGATACATTTTATATCCTTATTAGGTTGAAGAAAAAAGACTGGTTGAAATGAACTAAAAAATATGTTTTTCTTTTGCTCAAAATTTTTTTAACCCTCAGTGATGTTATTTTCAGATTATAAAGTGAGGTGCCAAATTGTGTATTTCTCAGATATTCTTGATGATTAAAAATACACAAATCAACAGTGACTAACCCAAGCTTCTAACTAAAAGATAGACTTAGAGATGTTTAAGTGACTACAAGTCCTTGGAGAGCCTTTGGCTCCCTAGTAAGATTTAAATGTTTTAATGTCTGTCATCCCAGAAAGCCTTTCAAAATAATGAGTGTGTTTAAACTGGAATCTTTTACAAGTTATTTTATTAGTTGCTATGCAATTTTATTCTCTATGTACCTCAACTAATAAATATAAAGATTACAAGTAGTCATAAATAATTAACACTAACAAAAACATCTGCTTGATGATAATACAGTCTACCCCTACATGCTCCACGAATCATTCAGCTTTGTGGCTTTTTGGCTATCTCCTTTATTTCTGTAGTTTCACTCTCTCTATATGTATTTCCACTACTTACTAAGAATTCCACTAGGGGGTGAATAGGACAATAAAAAGATATAAGTGGGCCACAATCTGGTAAGGGAAGCTTAAAACTACTTACTCAACAGAGATTTAGCTTATTTTTTTATTTAAAATATCAGTATTATTCCCATTTTCTATTATCCCTTATAATCACATTGGCCATGATAAGAGTGGTAGATAATTTAGAGAAAGCAACATAATATGCAGCTAAAGAAAAATGTAATATTTGATGAATTATACAATTTTGTTCTAGCTGGGTAGATCTGGGTTATATTATATGGCAGGAGCTTATAATTTTATAGGTATAAAAGATGATTCTTAATGACGTATGGATATTTAATAAATCATGTAATTAAGGAATATACAATCTGATTGCTAATTACATAATGATAATTTCATTAAGATTTCATGTTGGCATCTATTCCCAAAATGTGGAGCAGAAAACATAATCCCAGCTTTTAAATAAGACAGTTTCTATCATATAATCTAAAATATGTTTAAGGTTAAAATTGGGATACTGGTCAGATGCTTCTGACCAACAGCCTACACAAGGAAACTGGATCTCGGGATTTTGTTGCCAACATTTCTGGTTTGCCCAATGAATATATTCTCAAAACACCTGCAGAGAATAATAAAGAATAAATGGATTTCCTTATAGACTTGAAACACGTGGAAATGAAGGTAAAATCAGAAACAAGATAATTTGCACATTGCTTATGGGTCTTTTGTCATATTGTGTTTAAGCCCAGGAACTGGGGAAAGGCTGCTGTCATAATTTAAGAGCGATTCTTGAAGATTCTTATTACAAACTAAGAATGTGCTAATGCAAATCACATACTTTTAATGAGTGTTAATTTTGAAAATTAAAACTAACATCGTGCATTCTTTTATTAAGATTTCAAAATATTTGGGTGTGTGTTTTACCACCATGAATAACAACCTATGGGCTCTAATTATAATCAGAAGTAGCAATGGTTAACACAGGAGAGGCCCTGAGGAACCAAGTGCCATGACACATCTTGTCACCTTTAGGTACATAGTCACTCTACCACTAAAGACTGGCCATGTCACCAGAATGTTACCGGAAATAGTTGTCAAATTCCTTTGTTTTCAGTTATACCTAACGCTCAAAGATGTTTTGCAATAGCCTGCTGCTAAGTTATGGAATGCTAGTTACTTGCATGAATTCCAGGTTAGTATTCAACAAGCTTGGGACCAGGGCAGTGCTGACGTGACATTTCTGGGAGGGTTTGAAGTTCTGTAACCAGAGGGATTTAGCACTGGAGCCAAGGCAGCGTGATTCCCTAAGAAAGCCAGTCTGAAGTAAAATGGAATGTGAAAGCTGTTCTCCTCTTGATAGAGGAAGGCCAAGTTCCCTCTACCAAGGTAGCAGGATTGGGTTGTAAGATAACATTCAAGAGTCTTAAGTGGTAAAGAAAAGTGCTGTTCCTCAAATCACTGGCCTCCTTCTAAAGTCCAGATAACCCCAACAAGAAGGGTGGGAGTTTCTCAGGCACATCCAGCTTCCAGTTCTGCAACCTTTAAGGGGGGACTCCAGTGCAGCTCCCAAGTGTCTTAATTCCTGTCTTTCTGATGCCACATTCAATTTGGCTGTAGGATGCCCTAGAGCATTCCCAGAATGCCTCAGAGGTTCCTCACAGACTCTCTCCTCCTTTGGAAAGAATGTGGTGAGACTTCATTAGAAAGCTTCTGCCTACTATAACAGTACCTCATATCCAGTGGATGACCAATATATATTACTTGAAAGGCAGCTATAAAGTTGTTAAACAAGAGTTCTGAATAGAGTACAATCCTTATATAATAATGGTGCTGGGAAGAATATTAATGCCTATTTGATGGGTTATGGTTTGCCATAACTTTGTTCTGTGTGGCTGTTTTTCAGGGATTACCTTTAAACTCTTGGCATACATGAAAGTCAGCACACATGTAACTTAATTCAGGAAACTCAACTCTCTGGCATACAATGCTTTCTGTCTTTGCTCTCTATCTCTTTCCACCACTCAACTCCAAGCTGAAGTCCTTATATGAACTTATTCACATTAAAATAAATAAGGGCAGCTAGTCAAAACATAGTGCCCAATAGCAAAGAACAAAATACAGAATTCCCCCGCTCTGTTTATGCCTGAAACATAATGTTTGGTTATCTGGGCCACATTTTGAGAAGCAATGATATTTGATAGAAGGGAGAGGGTTGAGTCCAGGGATTGGGGGAATTCCTCCAGAAAAGAATCTCATACTATAAGTGAATAAATTGCTTAAATGAGTTATTGATATTGTTCTACCTGTAGGAAAGAAGGTTCAAGAAAAGCATGATTGTTGTCAAATATTTAAAGGGCTGTCATAGAAAGAGAGAGCAGGCCTGATCGGCCAGGTTCCAGAGGGGGATGGTTTAGCCTGGGTAAACTGAAGAAGTCTGCAATATTCAGTTATCTGAAACATCTGAGGCTGCTATGGTCAGTGACCAGTTTCCAGTGCTGAAGAGGAGAATTTTCCAGTATTAAATTAAATCAATCATATTTTTCACTTATAACAGAGTAGTTACAAATTATTCATTAAATGCTAATTATCACATTATTAATAGTTATAATTATTTTTAGGCATGGAATTTGATAAGTGACTAATAAGTTCCTGTAGGCCTTTGAGATTCTGTAACTCATTAGACAGTTAAAGACTTATCTGGCTTACCCTTATGCTCACGTATTATCTACTTTGTGTTCTAGAAATCTTCTAGATAAGATTTTTATTTTAATATTTACTTTTATTAGTAGCAACATTTATTATAAAATAGCACATCGATTATTTGATTATTAATAAAATGTGTACCCCAGGTTTGTAGATATGTAAATTGATGGTGTCTAGTAAAATTCAAATGCCTTCCAAAAATAAAAGCAAACAACAAATAAACCAAACAACATCTGCCACTGCCAATAAGTCCTTTATATGCAATGAAAAGTAGCTAGAAGTCCATAAGAAAAAAATAAACCTTTAAGGATAAACTTTTAAACTTTAATATGAAAATAGAGACTAGCCAGTTCTGGAGTAGGCTAGGTCAAGGCTGGAAGGAATATAAACTTCAAATTGGTTTTTAAAAATGAAGCAAACAATTTAGCTGGACTTAGGTTCAAATCATGGGAGACACTCTGGGCAGTTGGTCAAAGAATAGTGCCCAATAGCAAGAAGTCTAAAAAGACTCATAGGACTATCAAGAGGTGGGTTTCTGTACCTAGCACGTGGTCTGAATTATATTCGCATTCCATAAATGTCTATAGGATGAATGAACAAATAAGTGAAAGAATGAATGTTTGTGATTGGCAGGGGAGGTCCTTGCCATGGGCATTAGGTATTCTTGGTAAGAATGCAGCCCCTATAAGAATAGAGATAGAGGGTAGAAAGGACAACAAGGGTCAGCTATTGGACCTGGAGCATCAATACAGAATAAAGCCATAAGGCCAATTGTCTACAGACCAATGAGAGAGAACTGTTAATCTACAGATGCCTGTCTTTCTGCCTGAGAGCACTGGGGGAAAGGAGACAGAACTCAGT